AAGTGTTATTACTATTATTTGAAGTATTATTATTATTGTTCTTGAAGTTACAAATGAGGTAGAAACATAAACCTCAATTATCAGAAGATCCACTAGAGATAGAAGACCTCCAGAAAAGTATTCTCCATTAGCAAATTACTTGTTGTTGACAGAGAATGGGAAACCAGAATCTTATCGAGAGGCTTTGAGGATGAAAGATTCCATACATTGGAAGAGGGCCATGGAGGATGAGAAAGCACTGCACAACAAGTGGGTATTCAGGGTCAAAGATAAGGTCGATGATAGCAAGAGGTACAAGGCCAGATTGGTGGTCAAAGGGCTCCAATAGAAAATGGGAGTTGACTACAACAAGATATTCTCGCCAGTAGTAAAGATGACCATAATCAAATTGGTACTTGGTAGTATGGCTACAGAAGATTTACATCTAGAGCAGCTACATGTGAAGACAACTTTCTTACATGGAGACCTTATGAAGATATCTACATGGCACAACCACAAGGTTTTCTATTGACTGGTAAAGAAAATCTGGTGTGCAAGTTGAAGAAAAGTATGTATGGGTTGAAGAAAGCTTCAAAATAGTGGTAGTTGAAGTTTGATAGCTTTATGCAAGAGAGTGGGTACATAAGATGTGAGATGGATCATTGTTGTTACCTAAAGAAGTTTAATTCTTATTATATCATCCTTTTACTATATGTTGATGACATGTTGGTTGCTGGATCAGACATGCAGGAGAATAACAGATTGAAGAAGCAGTTGTCTAGAAAAATCAAGATGAAGAATTTAGGAGCTGCCAGACAGATTATGAGCATCAGCATAGTCAGAGATAGAGTTGTTGGTACTCCAAAGTAGACATGGCCAAAAACCGGTCCTATATTAAACAACTTTATTTTATTTTTTATTTTGAATTTTGAATTTTTCTGATAAATTTTTAACAATAATTTAATGTTATTCTAATACACTTTAAAATATGTAATTCGATCAATCAAATACATTTAAAAAATATGTTTTATTGTAATTTTATAATTGATTTTCAATCAAATACACTTAAAAATACGTTTTATTGTAAATTTCTAATTCATTTTCAATCAAATACACTTAGAAAGTTTGAAATACAATTAAAAATACGATTGTTTTGAAAAATATTAACCCGATCCCGGGTCGGGCCTTTTTTTTGATGAAAACCATAACCGGCAGCCTCAAACTGGACGGTCCCAAGGCAGTCGTGGTCCTGGTCCTCCGCCAGTCCCAGGCCAAGTCGGGCCCATTTAGCTATCTCTATTCTAAAGCTTTCCCAACGTAAGTACATCAGGAAAGTCTTAGAAGAATTCAGCATGACATATGCTAAGCCCAGAAGCACACCTCTGGGAGCCAGTTGAAACTCTCTAAGAAGCAATCTCCAAAGATGGATAAAGACAGGAAATAACTGGCCAAAGTTCCTTATGCTTTAGCAGTTGGTAGCTTGATGTATGTTATGGTATGCACAAGACCAGATTTTACTCACGCAATAGGAGTGGTCAGTAGATTGATGTCAAATCCAAGGGAAGAGCATTGGGAAGGAGTCAAGTGGTTGCTACGCTACTTGAAAGACACTTATGAGATTGCCTTATGTTTTAGAAAAAGGAAGGTAGTCCTAGAAGGTTTTGCTGATGTAAATTTAGGGGGGGGGGGGTTGTGATGACTCGGGGAAAAGCACTACAAAATATGTGTTCATCATTTGGGGTATGACCATTAGCTGGATGTCCATACTACAGAATAATGTTGCTCTTTCAACCACAGAATCTGAGTATATGGCCCTTGCAGAGGCTGCCAAGGAGCTTACCTGGTTGAAGGACTTCCTATCAGCGTTGGGCATGGAATAAAAAGACTCTGTTTTTCATTGTGATAACCAGAGTGCAATTGAATTTGTGAGAAATCCATTGTTTTACAGAAGATGAAACACATGAAAAGGATGTACCATTTTATTAGAGAGTTAATAAGGGATGGTACCTTAAGCTCAAAAAAGATCCTTGGTATAGAGAATCCAACATAAATGTTTACCAAGGTTTTTACAAGAAAGAAGTTGAAGCCATGTATGGCTTCAACTGGCCTTCTAGAAGCTTGATGGGAAGGCAAGGACTAGAAAGAGAGATGGGGTTTTACAAAGTACATGTTTTGGATGGCAGTAGATTAGTTGATCAACATCCAAGTGGGAGATTGTTGAGTTGTGGAGTCTGATCTACTTTGGCCTTATTGTTGCTAGGCAGCCTTATACATGGAGGCGATGTAGACTTTTGGGCTCTGGCCCACAAGCAGAATTAGGTCAACTATTATATATAAACTAGAAGAGTACTCGCGCAATGCAGCGAGATACATCTCAAATTTAATGTTTTGTTCTATTTTGTCCCTTGTCGACGGTTTTATGCGGTTTTGAGAAAAACGATAATGTTCTTATTTTGAATAAAATATAAATTTGAAGATATTATAAACTTTTGAAAAAAAAATATATATATCGATATTAGTATCAAATTAACTATTTAAAAGTTCTTGTTTTGTTGTGTAATTTCTTTAATTCAATTTTATTATAATTTGATTTAGGTCTAATAAGAAGTACTTTATTTTTGATTTAATAATGTAATTTTTTATAAATATAATAATTAAGTATTATATTAGAATACAATGGTTATCCTAATTATATTTTAGATTTTTTATATTTAAAATGAAATATTTATCATGTATTTGATTATGTTTATCTGCAGTTAGTTTCACGAATACAAGCATATAGCTTTAATAAGTTATACTTATGCATTATTTTCTTGTAATCTTGAATTTTGAGTAATATGCGTCAATAAATAGTATTTCATGTATAAAAAATGATTTTTAAGAGTTTTTATCAAATGCTTTATGATATAGTATAAATATATACCTTTGTAAGCTTGTAACTCTAAGCAGAAAGTGTGTGCAACAATATTTGCCTAATAAAAAATCTATCTAGTTCGTCGTCGACTAGCACGATCACCCTGCTCCTGTGAATCATGTAAATCCTTATGTTCTTGTTTATTTTCACATCTATATTGTATGTTTATTGTGTGCTTTTCGTTGTTATTAACGCAACAATAGTTTATGTTGGTAGTGAATTAAAAACATGAACTACATCAATAGTTCAAATAGAACATTAAGGTATTCACTTTATGAAATCAGATAGAATAAATCATAAATATTAATAATGACTCACCAGTTCGTAAGAAATTCCATCAACTTTGAATCATTTGAAATGATTCCTTCTCGATTCTCCTTTCCAGGCAACCCTAACAACATTTCCAAGTGGCTTCGCTTTGTCTCCAGATTCTTCATTGTGATCTTCGTCGTTGTTCAATGGCGATTAAGCTTGGTTCCCTTCTTCTTCTTCATCACCGTAAACAATCATTTTTCCTTTTCTTCCTCCATTCCCTAGCTTCAGCCGCCGATGGTGTCGGTCGTAGAGAGTTAGCGTCGTTGTCGGAGGCCAGAGACTTTCTGTCGCTCATCTTTGCCATGTGAGAGCTTATTGGTGGGAAGTCGCTTTACAAATTCTCGCAATTTGAAATTTAGTTTTACAAATTTGGTTATTTCTTTTAATATTTTAAAGAGGAAAAAGTTCCAAAAAAAAGTCAGAACTATGTAGAGCATCTCGAACGGCTTCCCCAATGAAGAAAGAAGAGATTTTGGATGATTTTTTATTCTAACAAATTCTTCTAGAGGTGGGTCGGGTGGGTTTGGGTGTACAAACCTAAAATCGGATCAAATTTTGGATATAGAAACGAAGCCACGAATTTAAGGTTTCGGATTTCGGTTGAGGTCGGGTTTTGGTATAGTTATAGTGCTAATAGTTATATATTTCGATCGATTTTTTAAGATGAATTCAATTGATTGAGAGAATTGATGAAATCGATAATATGTTTATAAATTATAAAAGAACACGACCGACTAGGATTTAGGCTATTAAAAAATAATTAGATAAATAAATATATTTATATTACATTCAAMATACATTTATATATCTTTCGGGTTTTCGGACGAGTTGGGTGGCCAAAAATCAAACCCAAACGAACTCAAATATCCCCTAAAATGTCGGGTTTCACATTGTCGGAATTCGGGGCATTTGAGTTTTGCACACAGCACACCTCTAGATTCTTCAAGAGATCTTCTAATGTGATTCTATATAGACACTTCTCTAAATCTCTATTTGTTGTCTTCACACCCCCTCTATAATTATTATGTAATTATATTTTTACTTTTTAGAGTAAACTATGATTTTCATCCATGTGATTTAAGAAATATGGCGATTTCGTTCCTATGGTTTATAAATTATTATTGTTTTCATTCATGACACTAAATATATAAAAACCATTCATTAATTTAGGATATTTTAGTCTTTTTGATTTACTTTTTTTTTACTTTATTAAATTTATTTATTGATCTATTTTTTGTTTTTTTATAATAAAACTAAATATTTTTTGATAAAAAAAATAATACGTAAAAACATTATATTATTTTGTTATTTTTAGATTTAAGTCAAAAGATAATAAATAAACTCTACAAATAGTTGTTTGTTTATTTATTAATAATTTTATTAAAAAACAATATCTGAATTATTAAGAAATGAATTCTGTTTAGTAAAAAAAGATTTATTGATCGGTCATGTCATATAGTCCTGAATTGGACATCCAATTGCTTCGATTTGAATTATCCGGAGAATGCCTTATATAGATATCCAATATATCAAAAAGATGGACAATCAAACCTATTTCTCGATTGAATRGAAGCCCAAAGAGGTGAATAGGGTCCCAAATAACGAGAGATATGTAAAAAATAGGTCCGATTATACCTATTCCTAATCCTAAATGGAATGTAACGACGTAGGAATCTTGTTTGATTAAAAAAAAAATGATAATCTCCTTGGTCCTCTCTTAATCATGGCTTCCATTAACCGGCTTCAAACTCGGTAAGCAGTTGGTATATAAGTTGTTTGTAGTCACCGGGGGTTCTCAAATCAATCCCAATTCTCATCAACTTCACTTCTCATAGACGATTTAAAAATCTTGCAAACACCGACGCTTGTGTATGATGGCAAGATCAAATTCGACTCGTGAAGACTGCAATCTCTACTTAGGTTAGAGCGAAATCACATACAAAACCCTCATATTTGAAGATGATCAACAGCAAACTATGATTCTCAGCGTTATTTTAGTTGGAGGAGTTACTTCGAGAACAACCCATTTAGAATTTACCCAAATGCATCTTTGTTATTGGTCATACCTGATTTTCTGTTTTTAGATGCAAATTGGTACGCTTTGCTACATGTTTCACACTAGCCTCTACATAAATCTTGGCGTTCGCTACAATTTCGTAGTTGGAAAAGAGCATGAACAAATCCAAGTGTAACTGTCTAATGGGAGTAAGATTTGGAGTTGTATAAACATCGTTCTATAATAATAAGAGTGTTTGCATACCACCTGTTTGGTGAATTTCCAAAGAAGAATCAGGATAACAATTCTAGTGTTATGTTTTCAACTTAACTGAGAGTATTCATTTGGCCATTCCCTACTAAGCATGCAACAACCATTGCGATAGATCATAATTGGCCAATGTTGCAAGGATATGGGTACAGAGTATGCCTTTTGATTTGTCTATGTTGTGAGTCCTAAATTCCATAAAGTGCATGGTACATTGGTATCAGGGTGTGCAATATATGTATATGAGCCAAAAAAACAAATCAATAGACGAACCAAGTTATCTTAAGTCTAAATTTTAGTGTGCTTTTACTTGGTATGTCTTGTCTCCATTCTCTTGTTGCCATAAGACCTAAGTTTTACTTTAGTTTTCATGCCTCTTTTTTCCTTAACAGAAAAGACCCAAGTCCTGGACTGCCTCTTGTATCCCAATTCTGTATTCATAATAACGAAGAGTGTGGATTAGTGCTTCATACCGTGCTATGTTCATTAGGAGGTTAGAGTTTTTGTCCTCTTGTTCTATTCCAGGACCTGGTATCTATAATCCAACAGGGTAAATACCAAGTACTTCCTCTCATCTCAGATGCCTTTGACGGTTACTGAATACCTTTGACCCTGGGAGACGTCTTCTAATTTCTCCTGCTGTGGTGCTTCACCTTTTTTGCTCAACTATCCATGTTGTGGCCCTGATCCTGTTTTTGGGGCTTAATTGCTCTTGTCAAGTTACATTATTGACTTTGCCATGAGGTCTAATTGTACCTGTTACGTGTGCCTCTGCCTAGGAACTCCAAATGAGTAATTTTTTGATGAGTGAAATCTTGTTGATACCTATTTTGACTAGTTGAGCTGTCAGAGTGTTAAATCAGATTGTTAGTAGCAAATTCAGTTGTCACGTCGACTATATTGTCAAAGGAAGCTTAAGATTGTGCTAGGAAAACCCTTTCGGGTATAGTACTATCAATGATTGGGACATTGACCAGATGTCCTTTTGTTGAACATCTGAAGTAATGAGCCCTTGTATTTTGTTTTGCTGACTCGTTGAGATGTTTTCCCTGACTATGACTATACTCTAGAGAGAGATGGATTTAGAAGTGAATGAGATGGTTGGCAGCTGGCCAATCTAGCCACAACCTTGCTTTCCAATATATGTGTGTGTATGCATGCTAGCTTGCTGAAAGTTTTCATGAAATTTCTAATAAGAAATTATCGTGTTCTGTTTACATTCTGCAGTAGAACAGATTCAGCACCAGAGAGTTGTGATCCAGAACAATCATAAAGAAAATCTTGTTGGCATATTGCATGAAACAGGTTCGAAGGAGGTTGTCATCTTGTGTCACGGATATAGATCCTGCAAGGTTGGCCATTCTGATTTTTCGGTCATATAATGATTTACTTTAATGACACTCCATTGAGAGATATTATTGTGTTTTATGCCATTCGTCATCTCTTCTACACTGTCAGTGTCAGCTTTCCCTCAGTGTTGTGCATATGTTGGTATTGGTGTATTCTATATGCTTTTGCTTGGGTGATATCTAAAGCTTTCTTTTCCTCCCCATTTTTGACAGTGCCTCTTCAAGTAAACATTTAAATTGATATTAACTTCCATAGATATTATACTTCTTTCGTGATTGAGTTTATTATACCATTTAGTTCCAAAGTGAAGTCCATTTGCATTTTTTGTTTTCTTCCAAATTAACTGAACATGGATTTTGGAAGAAGCAAGTAAGCGGTTGGTCTAAAAGAAGGTCAACCTATACATTCAATTAGTTTTAGATAAGAAACATGGGTTCTATACATAAATTTTATTTTAAATATAATTGATTCTCTCTTTTCGTCACCGTACCGACTTTCATGCTTCTCATACTTTTTATAAATCGACTCTTTCAGAGGCATAGTCACAAATATGATCTTGTGCTCTCAACTGATACCAGTCATATTGCATGACTTGATTTTGTGGCGATGTTAGGTCATGTCAATTTAGTTAGCATTGATCAATAATGCTTGTCAAAGGCTAATTTTCATAATTTTATTTCTACATTACAGGACAGAATTCCTATGGTGAATCTTGCTGCTGCTTTTGGAAATGAAGGAATTAGTGCCTTTCGCTTTGACTTTGCTGGCAATGGGTAATTTGATACAAATTGGCTAGAATTTCACAAAGATACTCTTCTAGTCAGATGATTGAATTGAATAACAAAAGACAGAATGTAAAATACAAGGGTGAGCTGCCAGACGCTCTCTCAGGCTTTAGCCCACATAATAACCAAGAAATCAGATACCCCTTCCTAGACCTTCCCCTTTCTTATTTAAACTCCTTCACATAAGCTAAACAGAATTTCCCGCCCAAACTAACCGTTCCCCCTTACCATCTCTGGAACCTTGTAGTATGACCCTGTACTACTCATCACTCATTTGTACGGCTAATACTAGGGTATAACATATTTTCTGTTTGCTAGTAATTTTGTTGCAATACAGATAGCAAATGGAATTTTATTTTTAGAGAGACAGAACAAACTTTTAAGCACACAAGCATACTGAAGAGAACACTGTCATATTATGAACTATGATGCCACATATACTCGTAGTGTAAAAGGCAGGAGGAAAGAACAAGCAGAGACAGTCATGCAAATTTGCTTTTGGAGCCAATCCCTGAAAACATAATTGTTGTCTATTTGCTGTCTTGTGATGAAAGGGGACGGCAATGGCATTAGTAGAGAGATTAATTCGAGTCTATTAACTCAGTAGGATGATTAGGATCAATATTTTAACTGTTATTAGGACAAATATTACTTCATCATTTAACTTTGTTATTAGGATCATTATTAGCTTAATTTGTTAGCATTTATATTTATTGTGATTTGTGAGGATGATTATTGTTAATATATAGCTATATTATTAACAGGGCTGTAATTCCATATTTGAATGAATGTATATATCAAGGGAGAACTCAACGTGGGGTTATGGGCTGAAAAGCAAAACTTAAAAATACATGAAGCAATCCTGCTTAACAGTATTATTATATAACGAAAGGAACTGAAATGGTCCTCAATTTGGATCATAGATGTTGATCATGCCTAACTTGCCACATATGAAGTCAGATCGAGCCTTATTAAAAGATCTAGGCTGTCGTGTCGAGCCAGCACCTGGTGTTTGATAAGTTAAGCGGGGACAGTCCCATTTTAAACTTTTAGTATATTAAAATACATTTGATACTTTAATAAACCAGTAATTTTGTTTCTCCAATTTTATGAAAATAGTCATCCATGTCTAAAGAAACTTGAACTCACAACCTAAAGGGTTAAGAAATGGAAATCTAATGATACTATAGGTAGGACCAAAGGCTTATTGCTACGGTAATTGTATATCTATATTTAACAATTAAAGCATATATGACAATGTACATTATATGCATAAATGATCACTTTGTAAGTTTATGTTTCTCATAAAAATCACAATGATTGAAATAAATATAATGTTGTTTCATCATCAGCCATGTGCCATAAAATATCAACATCATAACATCACTGATTCACCAATGTTATTGATTGGAATCTTCAAACCATGATTTTATGAAGTTAGAGGCCTAATTGGGTGAACCCTACATTAATTGACCAGTTTGCCAATTGCAAGTATTGCAAATAAACATAATTTCATCTTGGACAAGTAATGAAATTACAGGCAAAGTACTTGGGTAGTTATTGCAAATACAAATTTATAGGAAACACTTGCAAATAGTAGGTGTCTGCTCACCCCCTCCTCTTCTCATAATACCATGTCATTTTCAGTACTAGCTGAAAGAATCTGTTTGTTATTCTTCTTGTACTTGCTTCCCAAATTATGCTTAATATTGAATTTAGATGGCTCAGTTGATTGTGCTGACAGCTTGTTGATGATAACTTCTTTTGTTATGCTTTAAGAGATAGCGAAGGTTCTTTTCAGTATGGGAATTATTACAGAGAAGTTGATGATCTGCGGGCTGTGATGCAATACTTTGATCAAGAGAAACGCTCTGTGGCTGCAATTATTGGGCACAGTAAAGGTCTAAATCTGAAGTCACTTTCTTCATGTAGAACTAGAAGTGTATGCTATTTTGCAACCAGTCCTAAAGAGAGAAAATCAGAGCTTGATTTTGACCTAGTGTTTTGCAAAATACAAAATTGATTACTTAATTACCATCTGTTGATCAACATTTTCAATTTGTAGTGTCCATGATAAAGCTTAATGTGGTTATCAAATTTTTGACAGACGAATTCAGAATCTACTTTAAATTTCATAGGAAGGCTTACTTTTGTTGAGTTTGAGTCCTAAGAACACTGCAATTTATCTAAAAGTTGAATGTTATCACTTTTTACAAACTTACATTTTGTAGAGAACTTGTTTCCTTCGATACAAATGACTCTTTGATATCTGAAATGACTAATTTTTGCTTGTTATCATGAATAATTAAGTATTGCAACAAGCAGTCTTGTGGAGTGATCATGCAATCTTTACCCAAATCAAAATAATGGGGCCCCAAAAGGACTAAAACTTGAATGAGGTATAGAGTCAAGAGACATCACTTGTATACAGCTGAAGCTGGTATTTGGAAGACCTGCCTCCTCCTCTTTATCCATGTCAACTAAGGCATTTATCTCTTTTCCAACAGAAACTAGGCTAGTTCTTAAAGTTTGAATTTGAACATTGAAATTAACTTTTTGTTACATTGAAATCTCAGAAGAAACTGTTATCATTTAAGTTGGTGCAGTTTTCATAAAGGCAAAATGCATAGAACGATGACTATTTAGTCGTTGCCAACAAGAAACACCTTCCCTTTTGAGATCCTCTTCGCCCATGACAACAGGAATACCATCCCCCTTCCTTACATCTTCTTGATCTGGGTCTTCACGTTGCCTTTAAACCTCTCTCTCTCCTGGTGAAATGATGGAGAAACATATATTGGTTTCGTGATCTGTGTTTTGCCACCCTTAATCTGGTTTCGCGTTTGCATTTGATGTGGGTTTCTTATATTTGGATTATGCTTTGGGTTTTAATTCTTTAGATTAGAATATATAAGGTTTGATTTAGAATACATTGATTTTGATGTATTTTTGTGGGTTCTGTTTTTTTTTTTTTTTTTTTTTTTTTTTTGACAATGATATATATGGGTTTAATTTAGGGTTTTCGATTTAGAATATATGGGTTTTGTTTATCGAATTTTTTGAAGGAATCACACAAATTTATTAATGGGTGTTGGTGTTTGATGATGTGCATCTTCAAACAAAAAGTAATTTTTTTTTAAGTATATAATATTTATATACGACAAATGCAATAAATAAACTCACACGTCTTCCTCACCTTCGGTGAGGTTTGAACCCCTGACCTCCTCGGAGGCCAAAGACTACAATACCGTTAGGTCAAAGACCATTTGGTAACAAAAAGTAATTTTTGAAGGGATTTACACAAATTTGTTGGTTCATGGTGGTAATGGGTGGTGGTGGTGGTTTATGTTGAAGTTGAAGAACATCTTCAAACAAAAATAATGTGCGGTGGTAGTAGCCAGTAGGTGGTGGTGATACCATAATCATTCTCTCTAACAGTTGTCCAAGTTCATTGATAAACTTAACCTTACTCACCTGATTCAATGGTGGTCCTATTTTTCAACTCTAATCAATGTTTCCTATGTTACATCTCACACTAAACCATTGGGCTCTTTTTTTTTTTCTTCCCATAATTCATTATTAAATTTAAAATACTGTTATATTGATCAAAGGAATTCTTGCAGGAGGAAATGTGGTGCTTCTATATGCTTCAAGGTTTAATGATGTACATAGTGTGGTCAATATTTCTGGCCGATTTAATCTGAACAGAGGAATTGAGGGTCGATTGGGTAAAGATTACTTGCAGAGAATGAAGCAATATGGATTCATTGATGTTGCCAATAAAAAGGGTAAGCTTTATGATTTGTTGCTAACACGTTAACCATTGCTTTGTTATGTTACTTATGGTTTGGGCTTCATCGACGCATTGCTTAGGATCTTATGCACATCTTGGATCTCACCTGAACTAGTTAGTAATCAATTTTAGGGAACATAGAATATCGTGTGACTGAAGAAAGCTTGATAGACCGTCTAACAACCAACACAAGAGCAGCATGCCAACTGATTCCCCAAAACTGCAGGTTTGCAACTCCTATTGGTTTCTCTCGCTTCTTTTTCTGTTTGTATAATTTTCTGTTGTTAAACTCAAGCCGAATTGTACATTTGCTGTTCAATAATTATAGTCTATTGAAGGTTGTTTTAATAGACCAATAGCCAAACACTTGTAATGAACTATGTCGTTACAAGTTTTATGTCTTCAGATTGGAAGAAAATGAGACATGAAGTTTGTTAATAATATCTAAACCAAACCAAACCAAACCAAACTGAACGTGCCCAGTACATCCCACTTAAAATGTAAGTAGGGCCTAGGAAGTATAGGATGTATGTAACTGTGCCTACAGGATTGGAGACTAATAAGATCTAAAGTGATTTTCTGTAATTATTTATCAAATCAATCAAGGTTTTCATGTCAATCTAATTTTCTCGATTTTATTCTTGCCGCATACGTTTAGTTGGCTGAGCACTTGTAATAGTTTCATGGCAGAGTGGGCTTTGATTAGGAAAGAGCTTATGAAATGTGTTGACAACCAAGCACTTCCCCAATTTCATTACATTCAAGAGTCTACACCAAAGGCTTCTATTTTGTTGTAGAATGCTTTATGCATGACTTATAAGACGAATGAAACACACACACACACACACACACACCTTGACTTTGGTGAGGTTGGAACCCTTGACTTCATAGAAAGATTGGGTTACTGGATACCACGGGTTAAAGGCCCTTTGGTAGAAAAACACTTAACCTGAATTGGTTTTGACAATATTCAATGTGTTCTAATGTAGGAAGATGGTGGTTGCAGGGTGTTAACCATCCATGGTTCTGCAGATAAGATTGTAGGGATGGAAGATGGCCTGGAGTTTGCAAAGCATATACTCAACCACCAATTGCATATCATCAATGGAGCTGATCATGAATACACCTCTCATCAGGATGAGCTCGCTTCAGCTGTCCTTCATTTCGTCAAAGCCGGTTCCAATCACGACTCTCCCGCTTCATACACACAAGCAGCGGATAAGTCTCTACGTTCATGCTTATGACTTGCTTTATCCGTTCGGATTAATAGTAAGCCCGACTAGTACAATCGGCTATCACAATGTTTTGAGAAGTCAAGTGTGGCTAAGGAGTTGTATTAGTTCAACACAATTATAAGCATCAGGAAATGTTCAAATCACATGATGATATTGATAAATCTTATAATTGCAACTCCGAGGGGTAGCTCAACCGGTAAGAAATTGGTTTTATTTCCGGAGGGTTTATCTAACGGTTAACCTGGCGGTACCTTTGATAGCTCTAAAGATTTTTACGCTAGGACAAAACAATAAACTCTTAGCCCGTGCCACAATATGCAACATAGTGGGTCCACCCTTGCTCATTGTCCTATGTGATATCTCATAGGCATATCGATCTATATACTTTTTTCCATCTCAAAATAAGTGTTCATATTTCTATTTTGATATATTAAAAAATTATTTAAAAAATATATCCTCGGAGAAAATATTTCTCAAAATGGTACTAAAAAATAGTAAAATAATTAGTTAATTTTATACATATTAGTTATTTACCATTTACAATCAACCCCTACTTTTAAACAATGACATTCTGAATTGTAACTTTCAGCAACATTCAATTTTAAACATCTCAAGAACCACCACCACCAACATATAGTGGCTACTTGAATGAAACCTAAAATATCACCATGAATGGATCAATGGAAGTCAGATAAAAAAACACATTAGCCATAAGGCATCATAGTCTCGCATTTTGCTCAAGAAAAACACGTTTTTGCTTAAATAGACACTATTGCAACCGTCTTTGTGCAAAAAGCTTACAAATTGAATGATTCGACTCTATTTGTGGTCTGTGATGCAAAATCCAAGCATCCATAGCAAAAAGGTTCAAATCCCTTCATCTTAAAATACACCATGAACACAAATTAGAATCAACTAAGGGCTTAATGAATTCACTTGAAACAAAACCAATCCACAAGCACTTGTCCGGTTCCGATCATCACATCAACCCAGTGTCGCAAAATTTTACTTGGCAAAAACGTCTAAACGACAGCACACACCCTAATAACACAACCATTAATCATCTTCTTCACATTCTGTCTTCTCTCCTCCTCGGGGCGCAAGTGATGATCTCATCAACTCTCAGAATCATTTCTGCGGCCTCAGTTGCCGACAGCAAAACAGCCTGCTTCACTTTAAAAGCCTCTGATATTCCAAGCTCCCCCATGTCTCCAACCTAATAATAAACAAAATAAATAACATAAACAAAACAAAATCTCTATTTCCGACGCTTTTTGCAGTCCCTGCTCTACGGTACTCTTCATAATAGAGGATACATCCCAGTCTCCATGTCTGGGTGGGATATACTCGTCTCGTTTGGTTCATAGATTCACATAAAACTTCAAGGGCTATTTTATTACATAACCTTTGGAAGTCACCTTTACGAACTATGCTTTTGCTGTTTCTTTTCAAAATTTTACCGGGGAGGCAGTTTAAGGGTTATTTAGTACCCATGATGAGTTTGACGATCTGCAATCAAATAGCCACCCATCCCCATGAACCTTTTCAAATACTTCATTCTTCAGCATGTCTCGTGAAAAACACAACATTTCAATTCGTGTGAACTTGCTAAAGTATTTTTTTCAATCAAGCATTTATTGATATTGATTTTGGCCCACAATCCCCAACTTTCCATTATTAACGAATATTGATTTCGTCAAATAGTCAATCAACTTGGTCAAATAAATAAGGATAAAACTTGAATGATTTGCAATGCTACAAAATATAAGTATTTGTTTTACTTACAGAGCCAGTAATCACATCGATCCCTGCGTTGCTGTTCTCTTTGTGGTGTTCTGCACGAAGTTGGGCGATCAATTCGGCACTGTCCAAACCAGCATTGTCGGCAATAGTTGTAGGGATTGCAAGCAGTGCCCGTGAGAAAGCATCAATAGCATGAGATTTCTTCCCAGGTGTTTTTCGGGCCAATTCATCCACTGCCTTTGCCATCACCATCTCTGGCCATCCACCGCCAAGAAGAACCCTACTATCATTTACGGTCTGAGACAGCACACATAAGGCATCATGCAGGGATCTTTCTGCTTCATCAAGAACATGAAAACTGAAAGGAAAAAAAAAGTTGGCTGTGATTCTCATCATACAGATTATGCTTACAGAAATATACTCTTCTGCAAGAATACATATTCTTTCAAATATTGGTGCTTATAAAAATGAAACTGTAGACATGATGAAATCTAGAGATCGTCCACAGCACTCTTAAGAACCACTTATCAGCCACCTTATGGTCATCCAAATGAGGCTTTTTCAATAAGTTCAAAAAATTAACTGTCTTATAAGCTAGCTTATGGATGCCAAACATGGCGAAAGTAGGTTGTGGTGTCACCTTTAGAATAAAATTTCATCCAAAATATGTCCATAGATGACAATAGGTATGATGAAGGATTATTTATACGGATATGTATCTAGTAGTAATATCTTTCAATTAGAAAGATTATTGTTAAGGATGCAAATGATAGAATAAGAACATGGAGGATTAAGTGATAGCAAAGCATGCAGAGTCTTATGCGACTGTAAAATACAACAAAAGGTTAAAAAAAAGTTTTGTAGGGATCCAAACATAACCAGTACAGAAGACGAGTGCAGAAATATGGATGGTGTGATGGATGTGCATGCATGCGAGAATGGTAGGATAAGAATTGAAATTCAGGAGATGGGGGAAATTAAAATGACGAAAAACTAATGCAGAACTCCTACAGATGGTTTCACATCTCCAGCATAGATCTTTGGTAAATATCTAATGAACCGAGGTAAGGTAAATTAAGATTTCGATTCCCAGTTTGACCCCATGTGACTACAATAATAATATGCTGTGATGGAAGCTCATACTGAGATCATTTGCAGAAACTCGAATCAGTGTAAATATGGTGCGAGTAAAACTAAGAGCATCTCCAACAGCTGCTCCAAAAATGAAGAAAAATAAGATTTTGAAGCTTTTAGACTGGCTCTTTTTTAGCTCCAACAGCTTCTCCAAAATCAAGAATGTGGGTAGGAATTTTTCTACAAACTTGGAGAATCCTCTTAAATTGAATAGATGAAGAGAGAGAATGACTTTTATATTATTGAATATTTTAATGATATAAAATGTTGGAATATACAAAATTAATAACCAGTTGGAGTTGAATATAACTTCTTTTTAGAGATTTTGACTTTGGCTTCTCCATTTTGGAGAAACTGTAGGAGATGCTCTAAAAAGTTACTAAATTCAAAAGGGGAATTATATTATCAAAATAAAAACTATAAAAAGGCGAAACCATACCTTGCACCTCTCAAAACAATGGTACAGGCCTGTCCCATTTCAACACCTGAAAAGTGGATCAACTTATCCTCACCAATCATAATTTCTTCAATGAGCTTGCAGTGCCCAAGTTTAACAGATTCTGGATTGTCAAAGGTCGACGCAATTTCACCACCAGTAACTAAAGCCAGACGCTCAATGCCATCAAAATCAGCATGCTCTATTGCGAGAATTCCTGCATCTGCAAACAACTCCTCTGGGAAATTGTAGATTAATTGTCTGTTAACAAAGCAGTTGATACCATGACCGATGATCTTTTGCACCTTCTCCCTCATTTTTTCTTTTTCAGCTCCTTCAATTTGAGCAACCTTAGCCATTGAATCAACACGGACACGTGCTCCGTAGATTTTCACTTTGTCAGTATCCATTGCAGTGTTTGCAACCAAAATGTTTGCATTTTCTATTCGTTTAGGTTGCCCAAGACCAATCTTTTTGTCTAGAATAAATCTGCACAAGCAATATAAATTATACCCAAAAAGATGTCCTAAGAACCATGCAGTACGTTATGTTTAGTTAGACCATACAGGAAAGCAGAAAAAGATGAATGCCTTATTGATTCTTCTTTGAAATTTAAACTTGTACAAAGTGAAGAACCAGATAAATAATAATCTTTCTGGATAAAACATATACCTTCACAATTTCAAACCCATAAGTCATAATCACACAAGCAGTATGAGCATATAATTAAATCAAGAAATATATTCCATGATTACATATTAGTCAAAGGTACAAAAACAATCATATGTTCATTTGTGACACATTAAAATTCATTATAACCTTTCAAGTCATGCTCCCAGATAATTGACCTAACCAATTCTACATGAGCTATTAATGGATCCATGAACAAATACAGTGTCAAGTATGCATTACCTCCCGTTCATGATTTTGAAAATTCATGCCAAACTATTTTTAAATTTGAGAAACCAAGTATACAATAGAAAATATTATTGATGTTGAATTGCTGATCTCATGATATTTAGTATTCCTTCGTACTCATACAACTATATGCTAGTTTAATAAGAAAGTGATCTAGCAAATTATGTGAGATAACCAAAGAGCTCACAGTACTTGAAGGAAACAAGAACCAGCAGGTGGCAACTTCTATGCTCCATACCAAAGGGCCTTTGGCCTAGTGGTATGCGAGTCTTTAGCCTCCTAGGAGGTCAAGGGTTCAAACCTCACCAAAGATGAGGAGGGTGTGTGAGTTTATTTGTTCTATTTGCCGCATATAAATACTATATACTTCAAAAAAAAAAAAAAAAAACTTCTATGCTCCATTGCTGTTGCTTATGATGGTTATGAAGATATCACACTCGATCAACAGAAAGGGGATCATATGCATAACAATAGTTGCCTTTCATGTAAGTTTCCAAAAGCAATGAAATCATATTATTATGTAATGGTATTCTATAATGTGGATATCATAAAGTATCTTAACATGGGTTTTAGAACAAATGCTCCTCCCATCCCATCAAAAAATTAATGCTTAAACTGGACACACCTTTTATAGGTGTAATTGACTATCAGTCGAATTTCTGTCTTTAAAAATGACAAAACATGAGAATTGGTAGACCAAAATCAAAGCATCTACTAGTAATAATGGTAGGCAAATAGGTAATTGCAGCACGAAAGTAGGCCAAGGGAAACATCAAAATCATCCCAAAATGAGATGTGATGCAATTATCATATAGGGGGACTAACAATTAACAATACGAAGGTAAAATGAGAATAGGATCATAGAACGAACCCCTCATCCAAAAAAGAATCCTTTAATGACCCCCCGGCCTTCTTAATGATCTGGATTGACTCCAAGTTTGTGCTGCCCTGACACATGAAAGAAAATTATCAGGAAAAAGGATTTTAAAAATAAATGGACATGTAAATTATATCATGTTATTGCATGCATATCTTTTGATATAGTTTTGGACAGGAACTCCAATAAGTACTATAAACAACTCATCGTGATCAAGTCACCCCAACGCAACTACCGACCAACACACTGGAAATCCAACAGACAGTATGCATCATTAAGAGCATAAGGTCTTTGACTTGTATAATAAAAATACCTAGCAGAACTCTTCCAAAAAATGTAGAAACATAACTACTTATAAATTTTGGTTTTTCATATCTGAAGGTACTGAAACGCTGCATGATTTTCAGTTTATAGTAAAATTTAAAAAATAAAAAACAGATCTTACAAACGCCTATTTTACCCTTACATTCATTTGCCACAACTTAACTTCAGCAAAAAAATGGCTTATATATAAAGCCAACCGCGAAATACGGATCCCTAGTCAATAGATGTAAATATGTTTCTTAGGTGGCATTTTGGTACATAGACAGTACTGCACTAAACAGGACAAGATAAAGATAAAAGGACTGGACATGACATGACAAGTTGTATTTCTAGTGTTTGGCACGATTAGGATTGGACAGGACTAGGCTGGACAAGTTTCACGTAACTATTGTTTAGTGATTTTATATGGTGGTGAAAGATGTGGTCGGCAGTGGTGATGGTGATAGTGGTGGAGGTAGATGTTGTAGTAATCGGTGACTGATCGTGGTTGTTGAGGACGAGAAGATCGTGGACGATGATGTAGGTGATGGCCGATATGGTGTAGGTAGAGGTGGTGATGGACGGTGGTAGTAGTGGTAACCGATGGTGGAGGTGGCCACTAGTGGTGGTGGTGGCAATGGTCAAAGGTGGTTGTGGTGAAGGTAAAGGTGGTGGTTGTGGAGGGCGTAGAGATGGTGGCAGCCGAGAGAAGCGGATGTGGAGGTCGAGTTGTTGGTTGTGGATGTGGTGGTTATGGAGGAGGTGGAGGTGGTAGTGGTAACCGATGGTGGTGGAGGTGGTAGGGGAATCCAATGGAGGAGGTGGTCGGCAGTGGCCGCTACCAGAGGTGGTGTTGGCAGCGATGGGCAGTAGTGACCATTAAAAACAAATACCATATCAAGGTTATCTCAAATGCGGGTAGATTGGTAACGTTTAGTTTTGATCCATCTTGTTCCACCTATTTTGGTGTTACAGAAAAGCACGTTTTTGTGCCATCCAATCCCACCCCGTCCGTGTCTCTGTCCCATGTCACGCCAGACGTGGAACAATGAGTTCTCATCCTCTCCTCTGTCGTGCCAAACATGGAACAGTGAGTTTCGTCCTCTCTAGTCATGCCCAGCCTCATGTACCAAACGCAGCCTTAATGAACAAGATTATCTACACATAGCAAATTCTATGGTGTTTGATTGCCTAGAGGGATTTGAGCAATCCTTATGTGCAAGGCCTTTAGTTCATCTTCGGTGGGATGCTCAAAAAATCACAAGCATTCCAAGTGCGAGCTTTGAGTCCCAAGTTCATATTTGATCAGCTATCTTGTCACTTTTACAACAATGGTCCTTCACCAAGAGTCTTATCATGGTATATCACTAATTTTAAGCTTTTGTTAAAACAGAACGGTATACTGATGCTCCCCCTCACCATAGAATTGGCACTATGTAAAATGGTCATGTGATAATTCATTCATTTGGTATCTGATCCATCATGATGCATCAATCAGATTGATTTAATCAGCCCCAGATATTGTTCATTGTGGAATTTTTATCCAGTTTAGTAGAAACTTCAACAGTAAATCATTACAGTATGCCTTCAGTTGCATGGTGATAAAAGAGAGTTTTACTAGATAAACTGATCAAAGTCTCTTAAATTAATCATAGACACCTTAGGTTAGGGTTACTTTATAACTTGATCAAGGTCTCCTTGATTGACTTTGGACACCTTGGGTTACTTTATAACTCGGTTGTTGTAGTACAAATACTAACAACAAAAAAAGACCTTGTGCCTAAAGTCCGAGTTTTTAAGAGAAAATGTTAGAGAAAGTGAGAAGTGGGGTTTTCCATCATCTAGTTCCACAACGACCAACAAGTATCATCATAATACAAGTGACTTCTATAAATAAAATAAATAATGTCTTATGCACTTGGTTTATATACGACTTTCCAGGATTCAGATGCATGGCATACTTCACCAGTGTTTCAACATTAAATTTTCCAGGTTTAAGTACTTGTGGTTCATATTTAATATTGTAACTACATGAAACTGCAATGATGTTGAAAAAGATGCTCTAAAGTTTAAATGATATTGAATAAGATATGCAATAGCTTTCCAGTGCATACAAAGTATAAACTACTACTCACTTTTAGCCTCATAACAGCATCAACAGCCAATGTTGCAAAGTGTTCCTTGTCCTGTGAAAGAATTTTAGAACTCAAAGTGGTCATTGCAATCTTCATTAAGTCTGATCTGAATTTCTCTGCATGAACCAGTAGACATAACATTAATATGCAGGGTACATTTTTAATTGGATGGAAATAATCAACTGATAAATAAATATTAATTTCATTTGTGCCTGATACCACATATTACCATGTAAGCTGAGATGTTATGAATCCTTAATTTCCTTATAGAGGCTAATAACATGTTCAATTAAAGTGACATAAAATGTAACAAGTTGTACAAAGCGTGAAACTACAAAAATGTGAAACTTTAACATAAATATAAACAATCAGAACCTGCATCCTCTTTGTTATCCATGACCCTTTCTAACAACGCACTTCGTGCACAGTCAGCAGCCATACGATAACCTGAAAGTAAGAGCAAGCATGACATACCTATAAGAGAAGTAACACCCAGCATATCCCTCTTTCAATACTGATACGAAAAAAATTGATGATGTGACATTCATGCACAAAGCTAGTGGCCTTTATTTTGTGCTTGCAATGAGAGCTCTTGCAACAAAAAAATTAACTGAGATAGGACTTCCTGAATATTAGCATACATATCTGATTGCCTAAAATAATTCAGAAGTTCCAATAACATACTCATATATGCATGCTCTACTTACCAGGCAAATAATAGCTACATGTTCCTTGTAACCTATGAATCTTCCTGGTCCAACAAACAGATTAAAGAGGTACCACTCAATTAAAAGCCTTGACACCATTAAGAAAGCTAAGTTTTTTGTAAACACTATCCTGCAACTTTACTAGTAACATATTTGAAGAAAAGTCATCCTAGGAATCACGTACTCAACTATCATTATCAACATTATTACTCTCGAATAAGTTTTATTCTGCACATAGTCCTAGAAGAACATTTTAAAATACAGAAGTTTCAGCTACTTTGGACTAAGGTTTTAAGCATCTTGCATTTATAATCTTGAGCAGAAATGGTTACAGGTTTAGTTGACATCAAAGCTTGATGAGACTAGTCTTAAGCATGAATTTTCTCCGATGTTTGTTACTATGATGTTTGGATATTTCCCTGGAACGACCACAAATTAAGTTCTTAAAAAAAGAAACAAAAAGAAACCCAAAATCACTAAGCTCACACTCTGATTTATCAACAGGGATGCATTCTAATACATTGAGGAGTAAAATGAATCTGAAAAAGTTACAAGAAACTAACTGGAGAAGAGAGAATGATGTATATGAGAGATGGAGTGAGAGAGAGAGAGAGATTTAGAAATAAAACAAAATCAATTCACTAATATGAAGCGTGCTATGCTCAACAACGGCATCTATATGTGAATTCAGTGCAAAAGACAAAATGGAAGAAAATTATTAAATAAAAACTCCAGCAGAAAACTAAAGTGATCCTACATGAAATTAATGTGATAAAGCCTGCCCCTCATATTAGGCTGACATATCTTCATGGCCTAGACCAAAAATTAGTGTATATGTATCAATACTAAATGTTTAATTCATCCTCAAATGTGGTACCACCGAGGCCTGAATATTTCTCAATGATCAAACTCATCATGTCTTAATGGCCTAGAACCCAAAATTACAAGGCGATATTCATCTATCCAGCTATTATAAACAAGGCTCGAACATCCTGTTCAACCAGCGCCTTGGAAACTTATATTGGAACCTCTATCTACAACAACACTGCTATCAAATTGAAGACATGGGATCTAAAAGTTGCCCATCTTTACAAATGGTAAATAAAGCAAGAGAAATACACTTATCTAGTACACATGCTTCCTTAAATTGGACTAATTCATGCAGGACAAGATGAAGAAAAGAATCTTAGATAAAGATCATAGACGTATCGAGGATTCGAAGAACCACTCTGCATAACCCTCGGATTTCTTCACATTACAACAAAAACTATATATAACTGAAAGAGGAACCCTTAAAACTAAATCCCAAACGAAGTAGTCGAACCTATACGTAGGCTCAGATAACAATAAAAATATACTTACTTTTGCAAAGTGCAAAAAGCTTAAAAAAACATAACGAATAAAAAAATAAATTCAAATTCCTATCATCCCTCCTTTCCCTTTGAAAGAGTCACCTTTGCTAAAGTAAAAGAACTACAATGCTATTGAAGGTCCTGATTGCATCCAAGCTATCAAACTTTTCTATAGTAATTTAAGTGCATTGTCATCAGAACACACCACTTAACCAAATGTTATAGATGGCCCCCAACACAAGTTCCTGTAATCTGTTCTTCTGCAACATCCAACAATTACTACAATAACGGGTTGTGGGGTACAGTTAGGAAGAAAAAAGAGATCAGAGATAAAAGAAATGTCTAATGGGCTAGAATATGTGGTAACGATGTCATTTGTCTTGGCATAAGACAATTCAACACAGATCCACGACCAATGTGCATGTTGTTTGAACGATATAAATTGTATGCACTAGCGCTAATCTTCCTGGCCACATCCTCAAACATGCACCTTCTTCCAAGTACCATGAGGCAACCTCATGATATGATCATATGAGGTTGGAGCAAAACTTAATAATTCTCCAAGAATAATTGGTCAGTATGACACTCATCAGCTGTGGAATTGCAGTTACAATCATTAAACCAACTGTTCTTCGTATTTCCATCCACAACTCATGTGTGTGGTCAGCAAAAGACTTGAAGTCTAATTAGTTCTATGGGTAGACGGGAGTGCGGGACCACAGGAGGAGAACCAAGTTACTTCATAGTCTAGGCTGATGACGTATGTAAGGCTTGAAATCACTCACCCATAGAACATAGTGCCATGTGTTGTGATCTCCGACCAAACAATGTAATAAATCCTCAAGACTTCTTTTAACCATCAATTTGGTGATGATATGTAGTTAAAAACTTAAGCATGGGATGAAGCTTCTTCTGGAATGCTATCCATATATAACTCCTAAACTTGACATCCCTATCAAACAAAATGAAGAGCAAAATGCCACATGAAATAAAACCTCTTCAAAGAGTAGCTTTGCCAAATAGGGAGATTCGGTGTTTATGTACAAGGGACGAAATGACCATCTTTGAGAACCTAAAGATCACCGCAACTGCAGAATCATAAACCCTTGAATGTTTTTGGCAATTCTAAGATGAAGTCCATACTAAACCTTCCCACCGCTAATTGGGGAGGTGTACAAACTTATGTTCCGATTCTTAGCCTTTGCAGTATCACACTTGTGGCATTGGGCAACAATTCCTGCACAAGTTTATTTTGACTAATTTTAGTTTATCTTGTTCATTTATGTCTTCTTAGTTTAGTTCATATAAGAAATGTAAATGATTCTTAATCCTTTTAAGGGCCTAAATACTTCATTTAGGATTCAGACTTAACAATTGTTTTTAGTTGTATTGTAATTTATAGTGCGAAACCAAAGATCTTAAATGTGAATGATCCATGGGATTCAAAGGGTTCAAACACCAAGTTCATTCTTTTATTTTCCTGTCCCACATCAATAATGAATGTGTAAATACAAACACTTTTTTCTACTTTTTTGTGTTAAATGTGGGATAAGTTCACTATTTAACGATGTAGTTCCAATATGATTTGGTGTATGTAATGTGTTCAGTTCATCAGAATTGACTATTGAATTCATGTTGTATTTTCAATATTTCATTGCTGCTGTTTATATTGTAGGTAAAGATAGCTCATATGCAGTTGTTTACAGGTTTTGTGCAACAGGTGTGAACATATCCTAAATATGCATGGCATCAGCCAAATGCACATTATGACATGTAACAATAAAATAACATGGATCAACAAAAAGAAATTGATGATGTAACCTGATATTATTGTCATTGGATGAATCTTTGTGGCTACCAACTTCTCAGCCTCCCTTAGAAGTTCCCCAGCCAAAACTACCACTGAAGTAGTCCCATCACCCACTTCATCATCTTGCACTTTTGAGATGTCTAGTCATACAACTAAGGACTCTAACAACACATTTAAATTATTTTACCGAAAATTCACAATGCATAGTACCCTTCTCCACCTTAATGATTCAATCGTCACCAAGTTTTAATAGCGCAAGACAATAGACAGAAAGACTATTTCAAGGATACCAATAAGGACCTTAGCAGCAGGGTTGTCAATATGAAGGGACTTTAAGATGGTGGCACCATCGTTAGTCACCGTGACACTATGTCCTCTACCTGTTGATTGTAATATTTTATCCTGCAAATTTTGAATAATCAAAATGATTAGTTGGGCAAACGTACATACAAAAAAGGAGAAGCCGACATTGCACTATATTTAAGAAACATGATGAAATATGGAAGGAAGACTAACCATTCCCTTAGGCCCTAATGTCGTCTTTACCAAGTCAGCTATTGCCATGGCTCCAACAAAGGATGCCTGAACCAAAAAGAAAGGTCTTTTTAAGTATAACATAAAAATTAAACACAAGTTGTAACATTCCTAAATGGGAACAGGAGGAAAGGTGATATTTTGTTGATAAATTTCCAACGTGCAGGGAGTATACGTACAACACTAATAATACAGTTCAATGCAAATCTATCAAAGCAAACCAAAAACTCCAAACCAAGCATCGATAACCAAAAATAAGTACGTAACATATTCATAAATACAAATGTGTGCGTGCATTTGTCACATGAGGCTAAGAATACTCACCATTCGGGCTCGTTCACCCTTTTCTTCAGTGGCTTCATCTTTAAAAAGTCTTTCAACCTAAGACACCAAAAATATAGTTAGAAACAGGATAAAAAAAGAAAAACTGACTAACTATAACTTAAAAGGTTGAGAGTTTAACGTACCGCCATAGAAAAGCAGAAAGATTTAGCCCAATCGCTCGAAGAGTGTTACGTACTGAATAAAAAGAGTTCATATTTCCCATTATACATGATGAGAAAGTAGTAAATCATATATTTATAATAGAAAATGCTTCTTTTTAGTGCCTATTTCTGAGAAACAACATTTATTTTATAGCAGAAAATAAATAAGTACCAAAAAAATTTGGAGGTATAACAGCCATAATGTATAAAGGGTCCATCCAAGTTTCATCGAGTTAATGGGAGGTGGTACATCAAGCAGTTGGCAAAGGCCAACTTGATCCTCTTCCCTAAGGACCCCCATTAGGGAGCCCTAGGAGAACTTGATGTCTATAGGTCAACACAACATCTTCAAACCTAACGCGTATCATAAGAACAGTTGTTTGATTGATATCAGCATTTAATGAGAAAAACTAACGTTAGGATAAAGTGTTTTTTTGATCTCTTTAATAAAATATTTATTTTTCAAAATAACAGGCTGTAACCGGTGGATAAAATGAACACATATCAATCAAGTTCACAACTCCAGTGATGATGAACAAAACACCAAAAATCACGTCTTCTGAAAATGTTGCAGAACTGTGTACTCCAAGAACACGTTAACAGTATAGGGTTTCAAGGGTGTTCTAAGTGTAACAACAACCCTCAAAATGTAATAAAACGTCAGAAAACTGAACAAAACACTTGTAAAAAGTCTACGTATTTCATAAATAACTTGATAACGATGAATTTGCAACTGACGACGGCGTCACCATTTTCACTACCCTTTTCCGATCTCCTTAAAATGAGGTACGTGTTTTAACATTAACTTACAATATGAAAGAATAAACATGAGTAACAAAGAACACATACTTGTATTCCCGCCGATCTAGCAAGCCACTCCTCCTCGATTTCAGACTGTGTTCTTCCCCTCGAAACAGTTCGAGTACTTGTGGTCTGAGGTTGATGAATTTTAGGGCTACAAGTAGTGGGTGTGGGCTTCATCGTGATTTTGAAGGAAAGGAAACTATCCAGTAACCCAAACCCGTCGCATGGCCCAAACCAATTTCTTTTTGGGTATAATTTTTCCATCTATTATTTAAAATTTAAATGAATTTTTTTTATTAATCTAGATATTCAACCCGCTATACGAGCCGACTAATCTCAGAGAGACCATCTGCTTTATGGGTATTCTGGAGTCACCGCATTTGAACCTCTGTGGTCACAAAAGGATTTTTATTTCTTCTTGGATTTGAACTTGAGACCTTCAAGTACTTTTGATCCTTTGAGTCAGGTTCAAACCAATCAGGCACAACCCATGGTACATTGATTTATGAGTGAATTACATTCTTGGTCCTATGTGTTTTGTAGTGTGTTTAACTAAGGTCTTTTAAACGCATTTATTACACTTTCATACCTATGGTATGTAAAAAGCGTACAATATGAGTCTTTTTTATTAATGGAATCAAAAAGATTATGCTAACTATGATGAGTAAAGGGTCTTTTTGTCATTTTACCCTCTTTTGTATTTTTTTCAAAAAGCAGTAGGGAACAATTTTGCACCGCTTCTGTAATCTCCTTCATTTAGTTTTTTTTTTTTTTTGTAAGGGTGTCCGGGCCAAATCCCGACTAATTCCCGGCAAATTTGGAGGCTAAACATGGCCCCACTTAAATGTCGCCAACACTCCCCTCCCAGGACTCGAACTTGGGTTCATGACTATGACATGCCCAAACCTTTACCACTAGGCTGGAAGGTCTTTGACTCCTTCATTTAGTTTGAAGAACAAATGGGTAAGGTTTGTTTGTTTACCTCTTAATAGTTTCATTAAGAGACAACCTTTGAATTGTTAATAGATGAATCTTGTTTGGCAAAAAAAAGTCTGTCTTTTAATGGTTCTAAAACCCTCTGAATGATTTTTGTATCTTGGGTCTTCTTTAACCATTCAGCGTTCCAATTTCATCATGAACAATTATATTTCATTTTGCATTATATCGTAAGAGTCTCTTAATCATTCTGATCACTTAATCATTATGCACCAAAACCATTTAGCAACTGCTGAACAACCCATAAATCTAACCCAAGAAACACGACCACAACTAATCAGGAAGAAATACGTATTGAAAGTGTGAATCGACGCCTAGATAATCACCACCAACAACGTAATTGAGAGAGGGGGAGGGGGTCCGTCAACGTGAGATGAGAAGTTATCATGTGATTTCAGTAAAAGGAAAAAACTATTAACTCTTTTAATTTTTCAAGAAAATTGTAAGTACCTCTTTATAATATGTATAAATAAATGTTTAAGGCCTTTTATAATATAGTATAGATTTATATGTATTTATGATATTTTATAATATTATTATATCCATAAATATTCAAATAACGGATTTGTTTTGTAGGTATTGACGAGATTAATATAACGGTTTGGAATGATTAATTACTTGGACAATTTCTTGGAACAAATAAGTCCTTAGATATTCCAAAACCTGTTAAATAACTCCTTAGACTTTCTAAAACTTGTTAGATACATTCTTATGACCTATAAAACTGGTTAATGTACATCATACCTGTACCTGTTTATAAATAACAAAAATCAAACGAAGCCTGAAAAATCGAACCATACCGGAAAAATCGAACCATACATGTACCTGTTTATCTATTTAGCATTTAACAAATAAATAACAAAAACTTTATATTGAAAACCAAGCGTTATCATCTAGAGTTAGCACTAGACATTTACGATCTACCATTCTACCAAACTGCATCATCTCTTCATAATCATCTCATCATCATCATCTATGTGAGGAAATGAAAACAAAACAAAGAAATTGGAAACCTAAATCGAACCTGTATCTGAAATTGAGCTCCAAATCGAACTACTTGAACTTGGTTGTTGCTGTTTTGAATGAAATCGAACTCCAAAATCAAAGAATGTTATGTAAGAAATCAAAGAAATTCGGTGATTGAGTGAAGAATAAAAGAAAAAGCAAGTGAAGAACGTAGCCACAGAAGTCGAATGTTTTCTGAAATCGAGCTCCAAATTCGTGCCTTTGGTTGGTTCAATCGATTCAATCCTTGTAAAAATCGAACCTATTGGGCGTTGGCTGTTGCTGTTTATGTGTTTGCCTACGGCTTGGTTCGTATGCAGAGCCACAGAAAGTGATTGCTCTGTTGCTGGTAATGACGAGGGGAAGAGGGGCGAGTGTAGGACTGTGCCTCGTTTTGACCACACAGCCGGCGACGGTGATGGGGCTGGGTTGAAGGTGTTAGCGATGGCGGTATGGGGAGAGGGTAGCAACGAGGGGGAGTGATGTTCCCAGGTTTAATCAATCAAAAACATGAATAAATAAGAACACAGATTAAATCAACAATTGCAGAAATAGAAATGTAGAGAGAGAGAGAATTCTTCAAAGGCTTAGATTGATTTTCAATGGTTTTACACAAAACTAAACTTGACCAACTAACTCTATTACAACACTTCTACCCACCCCATTTATACACCAGGAATACACAAGAAACATAAAGCTTGGATACAACATTTAAGTACAAAATATTAAACCTAACATTATCCCCCCTTTGGATTCAAGCTTTAAAAACAGCTTTTAAAAATATATCAACAAATTCTTCAGACTCTTTAGCCGCAACAATCTTCAGAATTTATCAGCATCTTGATATCTTCAAAATTTATCTTTTAAAACTTTGTACATTCTCCTCCTAGTGAAAATATTGTAGAAACTCCTCCTTTGAGTAATAATTTCTCTTTTTTCAAAACTTCAATCCTTCACGATCTTTCTCAGACTTTAACAATCCTTTAATCTTTAATAATCTTCTTCAAGAAACAAATTTCTTAACAATCTCACCCTAAACTTTGTAGACTTTCAAACAATTTCTCTTTAAAGCAAACAAATCATCTTTTCAACAATCTTTCCCTAAAATTAGATTAGAAATAATTTTCACATCACTCCCCCTTAAAGACAACAATTAAAAAAAAATTCAACGATCAGCAATAATCTTCGGAAACTATCTTCACTTGATATCATCTCTCTTCCTTAATCAAGTTACTCCTCTTGAAATAACACTCTTCATTCATATCTTCATATATTTGCATCATGTCTTTGATAATGTTTCTCCCCCTCATGATGATTAGGAGAATCCTGAACATCATGAACAATCAAATATATGCAATTTGAATCACAAAGACTCATGAAAGTGTCAAAAAAATTATCATACATATATATTTGGCTCAAAAGACTCAATGTGCACAGAATAAAGTTCGAAGACCGGAGGTGTTTCTTATTGTTTCAATATCTAAATCTTTCGAATGAAGAATAGATAGATTATATGATAATTCACCGTGATGTATGAAACAAACACCTTTTGTGAGATACTTGAGTAGCTAGGTGGGGTGACACAAGTAGTCGACATTGAGTCCATGTCTGTTTCAATATTCATCTCCAAAGAATGAGAATGAATAGATTGTATGGTTACCCGGTTAACTATTTCGGTTTAGAAAGAACTATATTTATTTCTTTTAAGTCCTATCACACACTCACCATTTTCTTTTAGCTCACAAACACTCAGTCTCTCAACATTTTACCTCAAACACTCCCTTTCAAAATATATCAAACACTCCATTGAAACTTCTAAATTCTTAGCACACAGAAAATTATTGCACGTTCAGATATATATGTTACATTTCATAAGAAAATAATGAAGAATGAGTCCTGAATTATGTACTTAGAAGTCATATATGTAGAACAGGTCCTGAACTGAGTTGTTCATAAGCTAAAACACTGAAGATATTTGTTTAGAATTATCAAGAACCAAATTCAAACGCTAAACAGAATGACTCAGTACACACGGTGTTTATCAACAAATATTCAAAAGTTAGAATGTTTAATTGTGAAGAACAAATCACAATTACTATTTCAGATAAGAATTGAAATATTGTTATGAAATAATGCACAATGAAAACAATTAGAATTTCAAACGAGTGTATTTCGATCGAAAAATATCTATGAATATATGAGTCATGGAAATAACTAATTTTAAGAACAGTTGAATCAAGTATTGAATTATGCATGATTCTTCTGATTCTTCTTCTTCTTCTTCTTCTTCTTCTTCTTCTTCTTCTTCTTCTTCTTCTTCTTCTTCTTCTTCTTCTTCTTCTTCTTCTTCTTCTTCTTCTT